GTGATATAGAAAGAGTCTGACCAATTTAGTGGGATGATTTAAAGTAACAACATTTTCCTCCAGGACGATTTTTTTCTTAAATAAGCATATCTGAACTTCTTTTCTCTTTATTGCTATTTTCTTTGAGGACTTTTGCGAAATAGGGCGCAAGATATGTCTAATTTATATTTGCTATGAAAAGTATACAACAGCTTAAGTGAATAAAGAGAAAAATGTCAGTAAAGTTTTCAATTTCTGTCGGTAAAGTTTTCAGTTTCAGCATCCCCCAAAGAGATCAAAATGAGTGTTAAAGTAATTTTTCTGCGCAGTTTTTCATTTTTGCATAATATAAATATTGCTAATGTAAAGGGCAATCGTATTACGAGATTTGCTTTTCGTTGTTACAAGCTCGATAACGAGGAGAGCCACAAGCAGACACGTAATTGCTAATTTGTGCGATAATCTTCGCAAATACGTCTACATCGCGCTCGACAGCTTAAGTGAATAAAGAGGAATTTATAATATTTTACCGCGGAACTTTTTCGGACATACCACTTACGAAGTTAAAATGAATGTTAATGTAATGGAACGCGAAACTATTCTACGCAGAGGTCAGAGAATCTTACTTTGCGACAGAATGTTTCGTGAGTTTCTCCAAATTGCCGAAAGCCATCCGCGTGCGTTATCCGAGACTCGGAGGAAGTAATTAGGAAGAGTGATACGAAAGATAATTTTTGCGTTGCGCAATGAATGCGGGCAGATGCTCATCGTTATCATGATTGATTTGCAAAATTTCCTCGATATATCTGCGCTGTACGAGCACTGACTCATATAAGTTATCGATTTCGGCCACGTAAATCAGATGGCATTGCGTAATGAACCGACAATTCACTCGTCAACGCTCGTCGGGCGTGCACGTTAAACTTCTCTTTATGATTCATTTCACACGATTTATAGGTTGAATTTGCGCTAAAAAATCTACGATTCGTCACAGGCGGACAAATTGTTGATTATCCGTCGGCTGTGTCGAGCGCGATGTAGACGTATTTGCGAAGATTATCGCACAAATTAGCAATTACGTGTCTGCTTGTGGCTCTCCTCGTTATCGAGCTTGTAACAACGAAAAGCAAATCTCGTAATACGATTGCCCTTTACATTAGCAATATTTATATTATGCAAAAATGAAAAACTGCGCAGAAAAATTACTTTAACACTCATTTTGATCTCTTTGGGGGATGCTGAAACTGAAAACTTTACCGACAGAAATTGAAAACTTTACTGACATTTTTCTGCAAAGTTTACATTATACAGGTGGTACAGAATTATAAATGCTTTTACGCAATAAAAGTACGTGCAAAAATAAGTAGGAACATTTCTCAGTATGTGACGAGAACGAAAAAAAAAATTACTAAAATTTTATTAATACGACGTAAACTTTGTAGAAAAATGTCAGTATTCTGTCGCTAAAGTTTTCAGCATTCCCTTAAGGGGATTTTTTAGTCTTGAAAGCCAGATTCAAAAGTACATTTATGAATTTTTTCATGAATAAAAATACAGTTATAGTTAACAAGTGATATATTCTCTATAGTTATAGTTAACAAGTGATATATTCTCTAAAAATATGTTAAAAATATATTACGAAAAATATTTTATATTTCATGTTGCTCTCCAATAGTTAATATAATACGGTGGAAAAGTTAGGTCTGCATCGCGAATATAATCAAACGGTGACCATCCTAGAGTCTTGCGATAAGACTAAAAATAAAAACTGCGCGATTTTCTTGAACTTGTAATTTTCATCTGAATAATTGATATCGCATGCATATTTTCAATATGGCGACAGTTGGAATAAAAATTTCATTTTTGCTCGTTCTTGTTTCCCTTATTTCGGTTCCAAAAACAAAATTAACAAAATTAACAAAGTGAAAAATTAACATAGGTTATTGATCGTGGTCCATATTTGAAAATACGATTTTGAGAAAAACGCAAGTTTTGTCAAACATTTGCGCGATAATATGTATATATTATTGGACTTACCATTACTCAACTATTCCAGGGCTACATATATATAGAGGGAATCTTTTTCTTCTTCATATATTAAGTTCTTTTTTTTATGGATTGTTTTCGCTTCTCGAAGGATAATTCTCGCTTCTTTTGAAAACGCATGATGAGCCCAGAATTTGAGACGAGTTTCGTCCCGTGAAACAGCTAAGTTATAAGCTGTATTGCTGATGGTTATGCGATGGATTGTTTCTATAATTTTAAGCACATTCACGAAGCCATCATTAAATATACTGATTGGAGAATTGGCGATTTTAACTATACTGGCGTAGATATGGATTATCTTGTATATTACGTCTTCGCTTTCTACAATGTTCGAATCGAAACTAACGCTCAGAGTGGAAAGAAATTGTGTTTCGTTAACATTGTAGAATATTGTCAACGTATATTTATATACGTATAGTTACATTTTATTATTCACAAAACAAAACAAAAGAGATCGAAGGTAAAGCACTAGACACGCGCTATTTGAATCGGCCAAGCGCCTAAGTCTGTTTTCCGTAGTTGCACTGCTGAACTAGTACAATAAATTGAAGTGAGATAAGTATACATTTTCTCATTCTAACTTATTGCATCAGTTCAGCTGCAGCCACAGAAAACAGATCTATTATTACATATACGATACAAGGATATTTTAAAAACACTAACAATTAATACAAACTTTTATTAACTTTTATATCAACTGTATCCATTTTATTATTCACTGCATAAGTCACCAATACGCTACATATCTATATATATATATGTTGCGAAAATATGTTAAAATATGCAATTTTTAATAAAGAATAAAGAAGTCAAAAGAGAATTATATATATATAATTCTCTTTTGACTTCTTTATTCTTTATTAAAAATTGCATATTTTAACATATTTTCGTTCCTATGCTTATTATTTTTTAATATGTACAATAGTACCTATACAAATATATACTATTTAAACACATAGTTATAGACGACGCTGAATCTAGCAGACAGAGTTGGCAGGCGAACGTCGCGGTCCAGAGGCGAATGATAGAATAGGCCCCCAAGAAAAAAAATGTTTTATAATGCAATTACAGCTTTCAAATTGGGGAAAGACATAACTCTTATATTATTAAATAATTTTTCGCACGATTTTCAAGCAAACGAAGTTATTAAACAATATTTATAAATGTTTATAAGCATTTCTTAAATAATAATAGCAGCAGTTCCCACATGCATTCGATTGAACGTACGAAATTTGGCTCAAATATTGTTTGGAAGATGCTTCGTGCATTGGAGTGTGAACCGCGAAGGAACGCCATTGTTAATAATTTTTTTTTAATATTCACAACTGTTGCATACTTAAGAATTCAGTAGCTCCCACATGCATTCGATTGAATGTACGAAAATTGATTCAAATATTGTTTAGAAGATGCTTCGTGCATTGGAGTGTCAACCGCGAGGAAACGATATTGTTTAACAATGTTTGCGAATGACCAACCAAATATTAACTTCAAACATGTTTATTATTCAACTTGCAAAAATTGTTGAAAAAATCGCAAATATTGTTAAACAATGGCGTTTCCTCGCGGTTGACACTCCAATGCACGAAGCATCTTCCAAATAATATTTGAGCCAATTTTGGTACGTCCAATCGAATGCGTGTGGGAGCTGCTGAATTCTTAAGTAAGCAACAGTTTTAAACATTTTTTAAAAATTATTTAACAATGACGTTCCCTCGCCGTTTACATGCCGATATATCGAGCATCGTCCAAACAATATTTGAGCCAAATTTCGTACGTTCAATCGAATGCATGTGGGAACTGCTGCTATTATTATTTAAGAAATGCTTATAAACATTTATAAATATTGTTTAATAACTTCGTTTGCTTGAAAATTGTTTGAAAAATCATTTAATGATATAAGATTTATGGCTTTTCCCAGTTTGAAAGCTGTAATTGCATTATAAAACTTTTTTTTTTTGAAGGCCCACTCTATTATTCGCCCCTGGGACCCGGTGTTCGCCTGCCAACTCTGTCTGCTAGATTCAGGTAGTTAGTTATAGTCGTTAGTTATAGTATAAAAAAACAATAGTTTAGAATTTAAACATAGTTTAAAAAAGAAAGTTTGACATTTACTTATTGTAAAAGGTTAAGAAAATTTTAGATGTATCATGGTAGGCGCAGCAATTCGTTTAAATAGAATTTATAAGCTTTAAATGTAATCTGTAGGTTACATAGTTTCAAAAGTGGTTGATACATAGGCTTCAGAATATCTAAGTAAACTTTAGTGGAATATTGTGGTCAAAAGTAGAGCTACGATTGAAGTTCAGGAGATCATGTAGCATCAAACAATTCATATAGGTTTCAAAATATCTAAACAAGCGTTAAATAGAATATTGAGGTCAAAAGTAGGATTAAAATTTCGACTCCAATATATAGTGTATTACTTTGACCTAATATATCTTAGCTAATTTTTCTTTTTCCTAGATAGTGTTTATGTGGATTACTCTTAAGACTATTAGCTCTCAAAAAATTGAAAAAAATCGATTTTTTGAAGCCTCAAAACCAGACTTAACTCCCTTAAGTGATATGTCCGGAAAAGTTTCGCGACAAAATATTAAATTTCCTATAATTTATCTCAACTATTATATACTTTTCTGACTCATAGCAAATACAAATTAGATATATTTTGTGTTTTGTTTTTCACAATTCCTCAAAGAAAATAGCAACAAAGAGGAAAGAAGATATATTTATTTAAAAAAGAATCCTGGGGAGAAATTGCGCAATCACTTTAAATCACCACCGAATATGTTAGACTACATCACTTTAAACTATTTTATTTTACACTATTTTATTTTACTTCGCAGTTATTTCTAAATGCATAAAACTATAAAAATGAGAGTAGAGCACGCCGAGGTTTCAGATGAGTCAAGTATTACTTGAGATTTGTTAGTTTTTCTACCAAGTAGATCATGAATATTTAACGCTTGAAAGATTCGCAACGCGTTGTTCGGAAGCACACTCGCACATAATGATATGTTGTGTTAACTACGCCCAATTTCTCATTGAAGTAATTTACTTGAACAGTTAACAGCAAATGCGACATGTGACTTCGGCGATTTTCGGGCTCAGGGGAGAGGGAAAAAGAGAAAATCAGCAATATGAGAACATCGGTCATCAGCATAGCTCGTATGGTTTCCGGCGCTTACACGTGCCAATTTTCGAAGGCGAGCCTTATAATGAGGAGACAAACATAACGGTGTACGTCACGGCAGTAGGTTTTGTATTTTTTTCCTGGTATACATACGTATACATACACACACACACACACATACACATCTACTAGCAGACAATTATCATTTGCGCCTGCGGAAAAATACCACTGTAACGTTATGAACCTTCGTTTCGCCGTGTTTCTCTCTCTTTCTCTCTTTCTTTTTCTTTTTCCTTACAGAACGCGAACGGATGTATTCCAAGATAACAAACAACAACTCTCATCTCACATCTGGACGTTTTCGAGTCGCTCGACAGAGAAGGAGGATCTAACGAGCGAGTCGCATACGAAATATGCGTCTACGTGACATCGATTATACTCCACAGCGATGTCGCAATCGAAAAATAATATTTCACGGGTATGTCGAGTGTAATATATATCGTTCTTGACGTGCGTTCGCGGGACAGCAATTCGTTTCCTCTTACGTTCTCCTTCGCGGTCGCGTGCGCGAGATAAATTGATTATCATTCCGACTCGCGTAGAATTAAACGCGCATTTAAATTACAATTGAGAGCGGCAATGCTATTGGATTTTGTTCGAGCCCTCTGCCGGGGTCTCTCCACGGGCGCAAATATCTTTCGGCTCGTTATAATCCTCGTGCACGCGAATGCAATCAATCTTCGGCGCATTCAGAGGCAACTATTCGGGAAAGTCTGCCGAAGAACAATAGGCGCCGTGTTGTGTATTCATGACATTATCATTCCGCCGTGAATTTCCACGCTTTACTATCGGAGCTCCGCTCTGCGCCGTCAGCGCAGATCGGCATGTGAGAATACGTAATGTATACGCAATACCTTCTCCGCGCGAATCGATCATCGCACCTTCAGTAGAAAAATTCGAGCTACTGGCGCTTTCTGTAATTAGGTATCCGTGACGTCCTGCCCTAAACACACCAGAAATCTATCAAAGAATCGACATTGGAGTTGACACTCGGCTCAGAACTACGGCGAGGAACGTCGACAGCGGGACTTCCAGGAAAGATTCGTGAAGCTTACATAAGCGAATGTCTTTACACATATTAATCACTCTCGAGTTGTCGCTTACGAGCGCATCGGCGCGACGGTGAGCAGCAGGAAAGGCGCGTATCTCGGAAAGTCACATACATTTAAAATGTCACGTTCCCGACGGGCATTTCTGATCGTGTATTATACACGTCCCTCAGGTTTACCTTAATATCCCGTAGACACGTTATTCGTGCGACGAGCGGGACAGTAAACACGACTCACTGGAACGGAAGGACGGATGTCGCTCGACAAACACAGAGCATTATTTTCTAAGCAAATCTGCCGATGTGTGTGCGAGCGGAGCTGCGAGCGCATTTTCGCTTATTACTTCGCAGCGCGCATGCGCGCGACGAACCATCTCGAAGCGCGCGTTGCCGATTGTCAGTCGTAGCGGCGCGGTGGCTCAGTAGAGCGTCGAGCGTTGAGACGTGGAGAGTGTTCATTCTGCTGCTCTTGCGAACACTTGGCGCCAAATTGGAAGAAGAGCACCTCGGTCGGGTCGCGTGCACTTCTCACCAATAAAAAAATCACGGATCTAACCTAACGTCAAACTCAGCCAATCGAGGTGTCGAGGCGAGCGTAATTCACGTACGCGCGTACGTACGTGCGTACGTAGAAGCGCTGAAAAAGAGAGAACACGTCGTCATGGGTATCGTGTGGTGTGTCCCGCGGATATAACACGGCTCGCGTGCGATTTCGGGGTGCAGAGATCGAGTGCGGGATCGACGGGGCGAGAAAGGCGGAGAAATACTGCACACAACGACGATCGGCACCAGTATCTTTCGTCGAGGAGAGCGAAGGAGAGACAACGGAACAGCAGCAGCAGTAGCAGCAGCAGGGGAAAGTGAGAGACAGGCAGACCGATGCAGAGCCGTTTGCTCCGTCTTCAACGACTGGATGACACTTAGATCTGCTTGTAGTAAGTCGAGTAGATTTTTATGCATGCTCAGCTATGCTAGATTTGTGAGGTCGTATGATCACAATGTAAGGTTAGCTCGTGTCCCGACTCCAAACTATGAATCGTAAATTCCGCTTACGCCACCAGTAGCGATGCGCGTATCGCTTTTATGTCGAAATTCCAGAATGATTGGCTGCTGTAATAGCGCGTGCATTTTCGACACGGGAATTGCCAATCACGAATATATCCTTCGGCGATCGAATGAATGATGTTCTCGCGTTGATTTTCGCTCAGCGTATACACGGGAGAAAAGCTTCGGTTGGATTAATCAAGTGTCCGGTGAAGTATGAACCAACTAGAATTCTGCTCGAAGTTATCAGAATCCTATTCGCAAGCACTGAGAAAAAAAATATTACAAAATTTATCTATCGAGAATATAAAGTCTATTTTTGTGAAATGAAGTTTATTCCTGTGAAGTATAGTTTTTATATTCCACAAATAAGTTTTCAAGTATTTTTTCTGTTAACAAGATTTCTGGTTAACCAGAATTCACGACTGTTCAACTAGAATCTTATTAAGCATAATCTTATTAACTTGAAGGGAATTCTGGTAACCTCGACCTCGACCGAAATTCAGATTCATTCATATTTCATCAGATATTTAATACCAACCAAGCATTTTTTCCATTTTTCGTGATAATCGCTACAATCAAAGACGAACGAATATCACGGTATTGAGATGAAAATCTTGCGGAACTCTTCCCTTTTCAAATATTTGACTTCTTTATTTAATAGATGTTAATGAAGTAGTATGATGAGTAAGAAAGCGCCAGTCATATTTGGCAAGTTTGCAAGCAATGCAGTCAAAGTTTTGCTTTTCCAAGAATTGTTTTCATATAGTTTTCTCCTCTCTCTCTTTCTTTCTCTTTCTCATTCCTTTAAAGCGAGAAATCAATGCAGTCCTATTCGTAAAATATAAATGCAAAGAGCTATCGAGTGGCTTTTTACTGTACACATTTATATCGCGTGCGTATCAATGAGTTTCGTGTTTTTATGAGCAGTAATGGATACCGTTGTAATAATGTAATCTACAGAAGTATTAATTTCGTAAAACAAAAAATTTTCATGCGCACGGAAGGTAAACGCGTCAAAACTCAAAATATACTTTTGCCATGTTATTGAAATGTTATGACACTTCTCGCGCAACGAAAACAATATCGGGATATCTTAAGATAATGAGACTTACTCGGAAGCAATCAATCACTTACGCTGATAATATACGAGGAAACACTCTTGGTCGTTGCGAGGGAAAAACACCAAGGCCCATATTCTGAGTTCTCTTTTAACAATAAATTCTCTTTTAAAGGCGATAAGCCTTTAAAAGTGGCTTATAAGCTTTCTGATTGGTTATGAGTTACTTTTAGAGGCTCATTTATTGTTAAAAGAAAACTCAGAATACGGGTCTAAATTTCCTACGCGCCTTTTAATCCTCCGGCGGACGCGTAGCAGCACTGAGTACTCTCTAAATTTCTTGGGGTGTTATTGCAAGAGTGGCAGTATTTTCATTCCAAGAAATTTAGAAAGTACTGCAGTTTTTGATTTGTGAATTATCAGATAGATAACGTTGCAGTTTGGCGTCTGTGGATACTAAAGAAATAAGTTATTTTCATTCTTAAAAACAATTTCAATTTCAACTTATTCGTCGTATTTGTAACACGGTCTTAGCTCATTTAAATTCATTGATACGTTAATTTTAAAAGGTGCTGGAAAGCCACTTGAGTGCGCTGCACGCGCACGCCCGTGAATGTGCTAAAGGCGCGCCGGCCGCAGGGCTAATCGATGAACCCGTCTAAAGGGGCGCGCAATCCTGCAGCATCGATATATCGAGTCAAATCGCAATGGCAACTGCATCTGGAAGTAACTGTATACATTGACAAATAAAGTAAAATAAATATGCGACCACCGACCACTATTGCATAGGGTAAAGTCATAGGGTAAAGCGGGGTAATTTGGATAATTTCAAACTTTTTGAACAATTTCTCGAGAAATAATAATTTTATCCTTACATTGAATATGTAGCAGGAAACTCAGATGTCTAAGGAGTATTTACTCCATATATGAGAAATTACTCTTTAAATCTTGAGGCGTAATGCTATTATTTAACTTACCCTTACAATTTTAATGAAGATCAATTTTGAAGGGGAATTCGGACATCTTAAGGAGTAATTTGAATAACATTAAAAATGAGTATTAATATTATAACAAAAACTAAATCATGTATTTAAATGTTGTTCTTTGAACATTTTATTATACTTTTCAGATCAAATTGAACATAAATTAGAAAAATATGTAATAAAATTGAGTACAAATTATATATATAGAAAGTCAAAGTAATCATGTTAGCCCCATATAATATTTTAAATACAACGAACATAAATAAACTAACATTAACTAAAATTAACATTATAAATATAATTAAATTAACATAATAATTATAATAAACATTATAATATTTTAATAAAAGCAAAACATTATATTTATCTATTGTATTTTTAATAATAATTGCACTTTTCAAACAAAATTAAACAAAAATTAAGATAATAAGAGAAAAAACTAATCATATTAGTGTTATATAAAAAATTCATATACAAGGGCCACAAATGAACTTTTTTTCCCTTTGGCTCCAACGCATTGCTCATGATACTATGCTTTGCAGTGCTGGCAACGAATCCAGTCCCCTTTTTTTATAGAGACATTTAAATAATAGCTGACTTTACAAAATGCACATACACAGTCAAGTTTTTTTTAAAATGCTATTAAACACGGCGGAGCGCTCAATAGAAGGAGGGATTTCATTTTTATCACATATTTGTCTTTGATTAGATTGAACTTTTCTGTATAAACTTGTAGGGAACGTGAAATAATTGTGCAATAACTGTGCATGCTAAAATGGATATCACACCATCGATAACAGATGTAATGGCTTGTTTCATACTTTCTTTGTTCCAATTTAGTCGAATATCCTTTTTTCATAATGTCTCATCATTTGAAATAACGAAATGTGTCTTAAAACAGTTGAAATATGCATATTAAGGAACTGAGTGCATTATTCAAATTGCCCCATAAAAATGTATTGTAATTCTCTACTGTATTGTAATTCACTCTGTGCGAGATAAAAACATTGTGATATAGTACTACAATAACTGAACAAAATGCGCCACTAGTCGACGTGGTGATCGCTAATACATGCGGAAAACATTTTTAAGTTATATTGTTATTATAGTTTTTACGTAGATTTTATGAAAGTTTAAACTAGCAGAATATACTCTTATAAACTACAGTAACAACAGAAGTTCTCTACCTACCCTGCTTAATATAAAATATTCCACAGACCTTCAGATTCACAAATATTCTTTAAAATTTGTATAAATATGTAGACCACAGTATCTTCCTTACTGCTAACCTCAAACATAAAACAAAGCATCTCATGTTTTTCTGAAATTGTCGCAAACGTTTAATATTACCCAAATTTCCCCGCTATTCAATTTACCCCGCTGTATCCTATTAATTATAGCTATTGCCGTGTCTCTGAGTGCAGTCTCGCTGCATTCCCAATTTTTAGAACGTGTGCCGGTTCCGTTGAGGTTGTTTTAAAGAGTTAAAAATAAGGCGTATAGTCGCTCGGGGCGATCGACCCTAAACTTAACGGTGCATATATATTCATGAAAGAGAGAATTCCCTCAAAGTACACGAACGTGACTTCTCTCGCATCTCGTAGTAACTGCAACCCACGCGTATACATCGTCAGCAGTATTATGAAAAGCGTGATTCGCGATTTCTCATTTGTAGGGACGTGGACAAGAATGTTGGGGAATTGATCTGAATGAAACGCGATACCGGGGTAAATTGTGTATTTGTCAATGCGCGTGTTTGTTTTTGTTTCTTTGCATCGGATGTCCGTGAATCAAACGCTATTATCGGAAAATAGAATAACAGTGGTCTTCTCGTTAACATTGGTCCTTTTGTCATACGTTAATCAACGCTTGCGTTTAATTGGTTTCTTCGTTTGTCTGACAGATTAATAATATCAGAGAGAGAGAGAGAGAGAGAGAGAGAGACATGGAGCATTGCGAATAAAACATCGAATTGTTTTATTCGTGTCGCAATAAAGTTTCATTTATGGACCAATAATTGCTTTATAAACAAGAGTAAAACAAGTTTCGTCGGAAAACGTGGGAACGATCGTATCAAAGATCACACGTGCATGCAACTATCGTGACGTAAGATGCAAAATTATAAGATACCTCGAGCGATTGAAAGTTACATTTTGCATATTAAATCATACATTGATACGTCAGTGTGATATTAAGAGGCCGTTCTTAACTTAATCGCCTGTTGCATCGTGTGCAATCATTTGTCTAATTAAACATTCATTGAATATTATTAATGAGGAATTAATACGTTTGCATTATTTGCCGAAGGAAATGTACGTTTCCTTGAGATATTAATATTTATTATAGAGCGTTAAGTTTATTAAAAGAGAAGAGGGAAATATCTGAATACGCAATGGTAATTAAAACTTTACATTACGTGCAAATGTTGTGTCGAATGACTGTGTGTGTATCATGAATTTACAGTTCTTTATTTTTGTCTAAAATATATGATTTTCTCTAATCTCTCTGCAATAAATAGTCTGTAATCTTTAATTCAATCGCGACAGCTTATAAAAATTGGCATTTTCATTCCGCAAGGGAGTTTCAATTCGCAATAAAAGTAATAGAATTTAAGTGTAAATTGTTATCAGCATGTAATCATCGCGGGGCTATTGATTTTCATCCGATCGCGAATTCTCATCAAGCCGATAACTCGGTCGAATATTAGAATATCAATTTTCAAACATATCTCTTCGCGGACAGAATGAAAGGAATGTGCACTGATATTCGCCCGAGATGCCGGACAGTTGTGAGAAAGTTTGATCGTGAGTGACAAATGCCCAATAAATTAAACATTTTTATTTGTGAG